GACCCATTCGTATTACAACCATAAGTTTTCAGTTTATCGGTGGCAAAAACATGTGAAATTGATATGTGCAAAGAATATCTCTTCAAACCTGCGAACTCTTTTACTATTTAAACACAGAACATTCGTAGTATAAATAAAAACATGGATAATTTCCATATCCTCCTTCAAAGATTGGACACTGACTGCGACATCATCATACTAACAGAATGTTGGCTATCTAAAAGCCAAAGCAACCTCCCATTACTGCCAGGTTACAATACTTTTAGTAGTAAAAATGTATATAACCAAAATGACGGTGTTGTAGTCTTTGCGAAAAAAAATACGAACATATCAGTCGAGGAGCCTAATATGCTAGATTGTAGCAGGTTATTGGTGAAAGTGGGTCATGAAACTGCTATCCTTGCTGTTTACAGACCTTGTGGTTTTAAGCAAATAGACAATTTTATCACGTCATTAGACATTACACTTAGGAAACTGTCGTCGTTCAAAAATATAGTGTTAACGGGTGATATGAATATTGATATAAACCCAGAAGGCAGTGAAGGCGGAGCAAAAGACTACCTTAATATATGTGTATGCCGGGGCCTGCTTCCAGCACATTTGCTCCCTACACATCTAAGTGGTTCTTGTTTAGACCACATTTTATTAAAAACTAGGTTACCATCAATAACACCTGTCACCAGTCCTATAGTAACCGATCATAGTGCCGTCATTCTTAACTTAAGCCTTAAAATATCGAAACCTAATTGTAAGTACTCTATTACTAAAATTAATACGAAAAACCTTGAACAAGCAATTCAAAACATTGACTTTAGCCCAGTTTATAAAACCGATGACGTAAACATCTCTTTGCCTTACTTAATAAATAACATACGAAATGCCATTGCTAGCAATACAAAAATAGAACAGTAGCTAAAAAAAATAATAACTTAAAGCCTTGGATTACACCTGGCCTGATTAGGTGCATGAAACACAGGGACAAACTACACCTGATGGCAAAGACCTCTTCAGATAATTCCATTTTACAAATTTCATATAAAAGATATAGGAATTTTTGTAACAATTTATCAAAAAAGTTGAAGTATAATTATCTTACAAACTTACTAGAAGAGTCTGGTAGAGATAATAAAAAGATTTGGCGGCATGTAAAAGATATTGCATTTATTTCCAAACAGCATGAATCTTCGTCAGAATTATTACAAAATAATGCCTCGCCGCTTATATCAGCAAATACAGTAAATAATTACTTTGTGAACGTTGATAAAAATCTGGCTGAGCAGATAACAAACAACTCTAACAATAATTGTGAATACAGGGCCACTTTATTAACTCAAAAAACCTGCCAATTAAGCTCGTTCACATTATTAGATACGGACCCTAGTGAGGTGGAAAGGATTATAATGGGACTGAAAGAAACAAGCGCGGTTGGATGGGACGGATTACCCACTAGTATATTAAAAAAAATATAGACAAATTCTAGTACCACCATTAACCCATATTTTCAGAATTTGTCTCTCTGAAGGAATTTTCCCAGATTGTTTAAAAAAAGCAATTGTAGTTCCAGTATTCAAATCGGGGGACAAAAAATACGTTTCCAATTATCGGCCTATCTCAATACTCTCATCCACGTCTAAAATATTAGAAAAATTAATTAACAACAGATTAATGAATTATTTACAAAGTAAATCCATATTATCGAATATGCAATATGGTTTCAGGCCTAAAATGTCCACTGCTGATGCTGTGCAGGAAATGACCGATTACGTCTCTCAAGAATTAGATAAAGGCAACCAATCAATTGGCATTTTCCTTGACCTTGCAAAAGCATTTGATACGGTTTCTATTCCTATCCTATTAAATAAGTTAGAGAGCATAGGTATTCGAGGTAAGCAGCTTCAACTTTTTAAGAATTATTTAGAAAATCGATATCAATGCATAAAAATCGATAAGGTTGTTAGCTCTGAACAAAAAAGTATTCATTTTGGCGTGCCTCAAGGAAGTGTATTAGGGCCAACCCTATTTTTGATTTATATAAATGACCTCTGCAATCTTGAACTTAACTCAGGTAAAATAATATCTTACGCAGATGATACCGTGCTACTTTTTTCCGCAAATACAGTTGACAAGGTTTATTCATATGCTCAGCAAGGTTTTGATAGAGTTAATAAATGGCTCCAACAAAACATATTAACACTGAATACGGACAAAACCAAATATATTAATTTTTATATGCGCAGCTCAACCCAGCATATAACCATTCCAGAACTTTATGCACATCAATGTTACTCAGTCACAGAGTCTAAATGTTACTGCCCAGTTATATCTAATACAAAAACTGTTAAGTACCTTGGAATAATTATAGATTCTACGTTTACATTTAAAAACCACATAAACCACCTATGCAATAGAGTTCGTAAACTAATGTTTGTTTTTAAAAAAATTCGTTCTTTTGCTGATAATAAGGTAGTAAAACAAGTATATTACGCATTATGTCAGTCAATATTCACCTACTGTATAACCTCTTGGGGTGGAGCAGCTAAAACTACACTACTACCACTGGAACGCGCTCAAAGAGCTGTATTAAAAGTTGCAACATTCCGCCCTATTCTATTTCCATCCCATCTCTTATACAAATCCTATAATGTCCTCTCAGTGCGCCAGTTATTTGTTATGAGCATGTTACTAAAACAGCACTTAAGATTGCCTAATAGAAGAGAGGTCACTGATAAAAGGCGCAAAGATAAAGTAATTGAAACTAACATTAGAATAAGGCATTATTTCATGCATAGATTTTTTACATTTCTCGGCCCTTTTTTGTATAATCAAGTCAATGCAATTTTGTATATATATCCATTAAAAATGGCAGACTGTAAAAAAGGTAATTCGAACATGGTTACAAAATTTGTCATACGATGATACGGAGAAGTTGTTGATTGTTTTAAGTTAATTAATATCATAAGTAAATTAATGATAATGTATTTTACCCAAATAACCCTTATTAGATAGTACGTTATTCATTTTATATAAGAAACAGAAAATATTTTTTAATGTATCTTTTAGCACATACACCTGTGATACAGGTTTATCCTAGTTCAGGTGCCTGTTATTGTAGACTATTTTTAAGTTAAGACTTATTGGAATAATTTGTACATTTTATCAAAATAAAATAAATTATTATTATTATTATAATATAGCTGCAGTGTGGCTCAGTTGTGTATGTAAAGAGTGGAGTAAAGCAAACCTCTATTCTTCTTTCCATAGATTACAGTCTACGTGTTGGAATCAGTATACCATCTTAGTCCTAAAGGGTTGCATAACAAATGCATGTACTAAGTAGTAGGACTTCTTCTCCATATGTCTGGGTGCCCCCTCTTACATATGTCTGCCGCTATATGGTTGTACTTGCTCTGCTGTGTGCTGATCTGATGGATACAAAGTGTCAGTACAATAACAAGCTTTGAGGCGTTCCTTCTACGTCTTCAGTGGTGACAATACATCTGTTGCTTTCTTTGTTTGAATGGACTGCTGCAGCCACATCAGGTGGACTGTACGTTCCTTTGTTACTTCGGTATTATATTATCTATATGTTGACTACCTCGTTGGTCTAGTGGTAGTAGTAGTGCGACTGCTGATCATGAGGTCCTGGGTTCGGATCCCCGGTCGGGCAAATAAAATCAGTTACAGAGTTTTTACATTAAGACGTTCTCAGTAGCTGCCCGGAATCAGGAATTTGGCAGTGTCTCACCCCCATGCCTCTAAAAGCACGTAAAGCCGTTGGTCCTGCGCCTGATCTCTCTCCGGTTTTGTCGGTTTACCTTCCTATGCGAGTAAGGGAATAGAGAATGCATTTGTGCTTGCGCATACACTTGGGCACTATAATCCTGTCCTGTGCCGATGGCTAGTCTCCGTGGGACTGGCCGCCGTGACCGAAATTCGGTCTGAAGGACATTACTATTATTATATTTAAAAAAATTGTTCTAAATCTAAGATAAATAAAAAGCAAGTGTGTATATAGCATCCATTTACCATCAGGTAGGCTTTGTCATCACCGTTCGTTCCTCCCTCGTCAGTCTATAGACGTCTACAAGTAGACATATGTCTCTCTAATTTTTTCCACATTGCCTGGTTTCATATTTTATGTAAAAAACCCATTCAGTAAACGAAAGATCTTTCGATGTATTATCATTTGTAACTCACCGCATAATAACTTCACGTTTCCAATTCAAGCGATCAATTCGATTGAAAGGTTGACAAAAAATCAAGCGAAATCCTTTTTAAATTGGGAAACTCGAATGCCTTTGATCCTTCTAAAACGTGGTAGCGTCAAAGGAGTATGTTCCCGTGTGGACTATTAAATGAGATAGATGGTATGCCATAACGTTCAAAGATTACTAAAATTGGCGAGTGACCGGAAGCAGTTAAAATCCAGTTCGTCCAGTTGGAATGGTTTGAAATATGTTAGAAAGGATTATTAAAAAAAATAGTTTCTCATTCGAATAATTTAAATTAAAAATATTTATTGTAAGTTAAGTTTTGTGCATTTGGTGTTAACTTATAATAGTTTACGTGTCATCCGTGGATGTCGTAACAAGAATTATCCATTGCACTTTACCGCTACCTTTACAGATTATTAAAGTTCACTGCTGGACACAGGCTTTCCTCATAAATTGCCTCGGGGGGGGGGGTTGCCATAGATGCAACGCTAGGCATGCGGGTTGACAACCGCTGTTTTTTATGTTTAGTCGCTATCAGGAAGACTGTGCAGCCAATCTCCTGATTTGTTACCCTCTGTCGCCTCTTACGAAGACGAGGTAGTGTATATTCTTACATCGCCACTTAACTGTCCACTAAACAGTGCATTAAACAGTAATAAAATAAAATAAAGAGATTTGAAAATTCAATTTATTCATTCCGTTGCTGTAATTCCAGAGCTTATGTGGCTTTAGTTGGTTCGTTCGTGTGAAATGCGGCTTGCAAATGAGCTGTAAATGGTAATCTGTTTAAACGAGTGTCTGGTACGGCTTAGCACAAACAACGAGTGTCTGGTACGGCTTAGCACAAACAACGAGTGTCTGGTACGGCTTAGCACAAACAACGAGTGTCTGGTACGGCTTAGCACAAACAACGAGTGTCTGGTACGGCTTAGCAGAATCAACGAGTGTCTGGTACGGCTTAGCACAAACAACGCATAGGTTCAATATTAACCTGTATGCATTGACCATAGTTAACTCGTAGTTTGTACCATATAGAGGTACAGTACAGAGGTAGAGCCATGCTGCAGCTGTATTGTGGTTGTAACACGAATGCGTCGGTTCGACCGGGGAAGGAGCACGCTCTCACAGAATATAAGCTTAAACTTTTTTTATTGTTTTTCTTTCATCGTCGTTTAAAAAAAATGTCACCTCCACGCTAGAATTTTCTCATGTATCGTGGGGGTATCAGTTTACATATATAAATTTCACGAGGACAATACTTTTTCGAGTGCGAGTGGCGAGTGTAAAAAACCGTGGATACTTTTTACTGAAAACGTAGTATTATACACTAGTAAGGGGTGAAAACGCATCTACATTTTGATTCTTAATCAAGGATAAATGAAGATGTCTATGGGCCACAGCATCCACTTATCGTCAGGTGGGGTGTATGTTCGTTGTTCCCCATTACTCTATAAATAAATACGCATTGTAGAAGCGCGGCGGATATTTATATGCCCAAAACGTTTGGGATTAAGCCAGTGCTCTGCAGTGGAACGTATATAGACTGTTAGCTATGTTATAAACTAGTTATAGTTTACTTTTTGCACTTCAGTTTATTGAACTGTTGGTGTATTTCTGCTATTCCGGTTCTACTGCAGATATTACGAAGTCTATCTCGCAAAGAAACTTTAATAGCTATTATATATTTATTATCGAAGTTTCTCTGCATGATAGACGCATTATTATCTATTAATATAGAGCTATTATTAAAGTTTCTCTTACTATATAGCTCGTTGAGTGACATTATGCTTTACAGACGTGAAGGACTGCGAATCAAATCCATACTTTATCAATGCAGAAGGCACTAGTGGCAAACTCACGAACAGTTGCTCAACATGTTTTGTACAACACAATAAACAATAATTCAAAATTAAGAAAATAAAGAATGGATTAAAATAAAAAATTGTAATATTGGGTCCTTACATATGAAATTAGCCGTACTGACCACTTTGATCTGTAATATCTCCTCTTTGGTTAAGAATTCCAAATTCTAATTTATAAATTTATTTACGATAACGAGTTCTACCGTGGCACCAGTGCTGCAGAAACAGCTCGAAGGATTAATGATGTGTACAGCGCTGGTGTCGCAAAAGAAAGCACGGTACGTTTTTGATTTCAACGTTTTCGTTCTGGAAATTTCGACCTTCAGAACCAACCCCGTGGACGGCCGGAGACCAAAGTGGAAAATGAAGAATTAAAGGCTATTGTGGAAGCGGATCCATCAAAAAGCTTCGGGGTAAGTGATAAAACTGTATTAATCTCTTCTTCTTCTTCTACCTGGCGTTTATCCTGGTTGATCATCCCGCCCAGCGCGGGAGAACCCAGGGTCCGCTTTCCTACACTTCCTCCTCCACTTTACCCAATCTTCGGCGTCCGTCGCAACTAGCTCATTGGTACCAGGTAGGGTCATGTCCAGGCATTTGTTTCCCACGTAGCTTGCCGGTCGTCGTAAGCGTGGCCGTACCGGAGGAGGCGACTTTCCTGGAGCTTGTCAGCAATGTCACGGGCATGGAGGTTGCCGCGGAGGTATGTATTCCGTACATGGTCTTTCCTCGTGACGCCACACATCCACCGCAGCATGTTCATCTCCGTGACATGCAACAACTCTAGCATCGGCCACGCTTCACTGCCGTACGTAAGGACAGGCCTTATGATGATGTTATAGAACTGTCCCTTCAGCTTGACCGGCATTTTGGGGTCACAAATGACACCCGTCACCTCGCGCCATTTCGCCCAGGCTGCTGATATACGGCCCTTGATGTCGCGATCGATGTCCCCGGACGCATCAAGCACGGATCCGAGGTACCTGAAGTTGTCCGTGCGCTCGACGGTGTCGTCGCCTATACGGAGAGACGTCAGATCTGTGCTGTTGCAGGCCATATACTCCGTCTTCGCCACGTTTAGCTTCAGCCCGCCGTTCTCAAGCGCCTCCCTCCATGCGTGTCCGCGTCTGGTGATCCGTCCTTTGGCCCGATCTACCAGTGCGTTATCATCAGCGTACATAAGCAGCCAAGGCTGCGGTAGTTTCTGTACGTTGGCTGACAGTTCGTCTAATATCACACTGAAGAGATAGGGGCTTAAGACGGAGCCCTGATGCACGCCTACGGTTATGGGGAAGGGGGTGGTATCACCAACAGCGGTCCTGACTATTGAATCGGAGTTGCGGTACATATCACGTACGATTGCCCAACAGCGGTCCTGACTATTGAATCGGAGTTGCGGTACATATCACGTACGGTTGCCACGTAGGTCTCTGGTACCAACTTCGCTTCGACCACCAGATCATCTCCCTAGGAACACAGTCAAAGGCCTTCTGCAGGTCTAGGAATAAAAAATGCAGAGGCATATTCTTTTCCCTATGCTTCTCCATGAGGATCATTAGGGCGAATATAGGGTCCATGGTACCGCGTCCTGGTTGGAAACCGTACTGGGAGTCCGATACTGTACACTCCTGTCGGATCCTGGTATCAATAATGCGCTCGAAGGGCTTCATGGTATGTGACGTCACCTTTATACCGCGGTAATTACCGCAATCCTGAACGGACCCTTTACCCTTGTGGACCGGCGTTATTATACTAAGCCGCCACTGATCGGACATTATTCGGCCGCTCAGGATTCTATTATAAAGATTAGTAAGAATGCACACACCACAAGCCCCCAGCGCTTTCCACACTTCAATTGGCCCCTCGTCCGGTCCGACAGTTTCCGATTCTCCATGTGACGAAGAGATGCGAGGACCTCGTCAGGCGTAATCGGTGGCACCAGTCCATGGTTCGGGAGTTGTTCGGGAGGGTGCACTTCCCGGTACTGAGTATTCAGCAAAACGTGGAAATAAGTGCGCCATCTCTCCTTCACCGCACGATCACCGTACAGGAGCTCGCCATTAGGGTCGTTGACGCTGTAGCAGCGAGTAATATCTTGCACTGCTTTGGCCCTAGAGCGCGCCAGTTTATATATGAGCTTGTGCCCCTCAGGAGTGTCCAACTTAGCACAAAATGGTTGCAAGTGGTCACGCTGGCTCTGGCTACAGCTTTCTTGGCAGCTCTTTTCGCTGTCTTGTAAGATGCGCGATCTTCAGGAGATTTGGTCGCTTGCCACGTCTTGAAGAGCGCTTTCTTCTCCCGTTTTATTACGGGACCATGGCGTCCCACCACCAAGACTCCTTGTCAATTTTGCGACCCCCTTTCGCCACGCCGAGGACTTGCTTTGCCGGCTTTGTGATTGCTGTCTGAATGGTTTTCCAGCACTCTTGGACGAACTTGCCTGCTGTGTCGAGACTAATATCCCCAACGGCAGAGTCAAACTCCTAGGATCTGGTTTGATCCAGCAGCCACCACTTGATTTGACGGCGGCATTACTTTAGGCGTGTCTGCGACTGGGTTTTACGCAGAGGTCCATGACAAGAAGTCGGTGTTGGGCAGTGAGACACTCACCGGGTATGACCTTACAGTTGGCTACGCGACTGACATGACTTCCCTGGTCAGTAGATAGTCGATTTGAGTGGCGTTCCGACCGCTTCTGTAGGTAATCAGGTGCTCGGTTTTCTTTTCGAAGAACGTGTTCACGACGGCCAGGTCAGCTGCAGTGCAGGTTCTGAGAATGGTTTCCCCCTCTGCGTTTCTTCGACCGTAACCATAGCCGCCGTGGACACGTTCATACTCCCCCCTGCACCTCGCCCACTGACCGTTCAGGTCGCCACCCAACACGATATCGTGGGACAACGGTATGTCACGAAGTACATCTCCGAGCCGATCCCAAACCAGCGTCTTATCCGCATCGCTGCAGCCCACCTGTGGGGCGTAGGCACTTATTAAGTGGGTCACGACCCCCTCAACAAGCAACCTTACTACCATAAGTCGGTCGCATATGCGTCTAACTTCCAAGACGCTATATATATATATATATAGACTTCTGCCACACTGTTCTCCTCACCAGAAGAGCCTGTATAGATCAGCTTATGCCCAATATTCCGGCTTCTGTTAACCTTCCACCGTGTCTCCTGCAGGAACGCCACTGTCACTTTACGCCTGGCAAGTATGGCCGCAAATTCTATGGAGCGTCCCTTAAGCGTGCTAATGTTCCAGTTTGCAAAGCGAATCTTCGTAGTTGGTGCTAACTTCATTAGCCGGGCTCGCACGGGGCCCGGTAGCCCTCGCATACTTGTCGCAGGGTTAAGGCGATCGCCATGCGCGTCGTTATGCGGCGACGCCCTAGTCCTAAACGTATATCTCTTTCTTTTACTTTCCATTTTTGAGTGGCTTAGTGCCAATTACCGGGGCGACTGCCGTCTGACCCCCGAACCCCTAGGACGAATTCCAGAGAAGTGGCATCGCCAGAGCCCTTTCCGTTGTTCAGCAGGTGCGCCACGTGCAGGCGGGTTGGCTTGGGCTCCAAGATCTTAGCGGAGCCCCTTACACCCATCTGTATACTAATCATAAATATTATAATTTATCATTAGAATAAAACTGTATTAATCTACTTGAAGCAAATCGGGAAAGTAAAAAACTTGAACGATGGGTACCTCATGAATTGAGTGAATCGAACTTGCAAACACGCGTCGACTGCTGTGTTACTTTGCTCAACCGACACAAAAGTGAAGGGATTTTAAATCGAATCATTACTTGTGATGAAAAGCGAATACTGTACGATAATCGGAAGCGCTCGTCGCAATGGCTAAACCCTGGGGATCCAGCCAAATTCTGTTCTAAACGAAAATTGACTCAGAAAGTTACTTGTCAGTGTTTGGTGGACTAGCGCCGGTGTCGTTCACTACAACTTTCTGAAATCTGGCCAAACAATTACGCCAGATATCTATTGTCAGCAACTGCAAACCATGAAGGAAGAACTAGCTGCTAAACAAAAGAGATTGGTCAATCGCTCTAGACCACTGCTGCTTCACGACAACGCAAGACCACACACTGCACAATAAACAACCACTAAGTTAGATGAGCTACAATTGGAATGTCTACGACATCCACCGTACTCTCCTTGTTCTAACAGATTACCATTTTGTCCGGAATTTGGACAACTTCTTAGAAGGAAAAAAATTCAACTCCGATGCGGCAGTCCAAACCGCCTTCAAAGAGTTTATTGATTCTCGCCCTCATGGTTTTTTAATAAAGGGATCAATGAACTATCTTTGAGACGGCAAAAGTACATAGATAACAACGGTGTATACGTTGATTAAAATATATTTTACAAAAAAAATGATTTTATATTCCTCCCGTACAAAACGCCAATTTCATATGAAAGATCCTTATAACAAAACTTAAACTAAATTCATAGATATTATTTCCTTTACTAATAACCCTCATGCTCTTTGCATTTAGTTCACTAGAACTGCAGCACCCACAAGAGCAAACTTTACGCTCAATTCAATTTTACACTTGCAGGAAATCCGTCCATAATCAAATATGAAGAGAATATATTTTAGTGGTGAAACTTTAAGATTTAGAAAATAAAATAAGATGACTTAGTTATTAGATTTGAGTTATAGAAGCCGTGTTAGTTTAGGGGACAAACACTGGGTGTTAATTTACGTGTTAGAACTCTGTTTAAAACCGCATGCTCGGTGGTAAAGAAAACTCGTGAGAAAATCTTCATATCTGGGGAATAAAATATTCTGAGAGCATGTGGAATCCTGTGACACGCACTAGAGCCGCGCGGCGGACTTCAACTTTCAAATATTATGATAATAATACAGAATTAAATTAAATTTTTACAAAATATACAACCTAAGAGTTTCCTGCCAGTTCTTTTCTATAGAAGGATGATGGATTTTAGGAACTGATGATGGGTTATGAGGATTATAGCGAACTTTCTCTTTTTAAATTCAATAAGTGCTAATCATCATTGACGTTCATACTGACAAACACTGGCAGTATGCACAAATCTGTTGCCATCCTGTCGCATAGAACACAGATTGTTGCTTTTAGAATAAAATTATACAAATGTCTAAAGTCAAAGAATATTAAAATGTTTTCAACAAATAAATACTTTGGAATTATTGATTATAAAAGGAGGTGTGACTTTTGTGTAATTTCAAATGTTCCTTTTTCAATGGTCCGTAGAGTGTATGTTAAAGCCTTCTTAATAGTTTATGGTCAAAGCAAAAAAGTGTTTATTTTATATTTGTTTTATATGTATTAATGTACCATTGAAACTAAAATACTGGTACTGTACTATTACTGGTACTATAATAGGTGCCAAATGAGCAAAAAACATTTATCCTCTATCAAAATGCAGACGCGTTGTCACCTCGTCTTTGATGATTACCTTAAATTTAAATAATGTCACATTAATAGATTCTACTCAAGCGAAGCCGCGGCGGGTCTCTGAGAAAGGGAGTAAGAAAGGAAATTTCCTATCGTTTGAAGTTATATCTGTAGACTATCAACAAAGGATTTCAATAACGAGCCAACGAGCAGTTATCATACATAACGAATTGAGAGCACGCCCCGGACGCACCATACAACGCTCGCAAATTAATTACCTATTACTACTAGGTAGGCAAATGACGTTTGCACACGCGCAAATATGTGCGTGTAGTAGGGAAGTGCGGCGGCTGACGTTAAAGCGGCGGGGCGCATTCAACGTCGTTTTAAATGATCGTATCGGAACAGCAATATTAATTTATATGTAGTTACATATTTATGGTAGATTTATTGAAACTAACTATAATAAATATATCTGTGATCTGGTGCTAAAAAGACCAAACTACGCTTACAGAGGTTTTTTATTTTATTAAACAATATGGAAGTACACACTACATTGGCCTTTTTTACGTAGTATCTTTTGAAAGACTACCAATAAACGTATGCCCTTTTAGCACAAACAAATTTCGTACCTTTTCGATAATATGGTTTTAAAATCTCATTTCTTAAACAACGTACTTTGGTACTTTTAGCACCAGGTCACAGATATAAATATCCCATTATATATATTATATAATAATTCGCCTGATTTTCATATTGTCAATATTATGTTTGGAGGACTTAATTATTAATTCAATTCTAAGTTTATAGATGTTAGATAAATCTACAGATGTCGGTGTTATTTGCGAGGATTTGTGTTTTACTAAATCTGATGTAAAGGCTTACATGACACAGATGCGTTGTCAACCCTGAGGATCAAGATTGAATGCCTCGTCAGTTCCGATTCTCTAGGAACCATACCATACATCACACGGCGATACAATGTAAGTATGGTCCGGTCCTTCTAAGGTTGAGCAGAACCATTAGTGCTACAACCATATCACAGATAAATTCTGTTTAATAATAATAATAATAATAATTTATTGAAACACACATTAGGAAAAGTTACACAATTCACAATTTTACAATTCTATTACATTTTGTACAAAATAAGAAATGTGCAAACAGTGATCTTTGACTCCTGTGCTAGGTAAGCCTGTATTACAGGAGTCAATGCTCTTCATGTCTCTTTTCTATATTGTATATAATGTATTACTTACAGTGTACTAAAAACTGTGTGTGTGTTTGTGTGTTTGTGTGCGTTTCACATTATACTTTCCATCATGTGTTCTGTATCTTTGTAATTTAATTTATACATAAAGTCCTCTACATATTTCTTTAATTT